ACCTTAAACATTGTGTAGAAATTTAAAGTTAATTGGGTATTAACTTTAGCCTCTAGAGCGTACAAAGATTTTTCAAAGTTACCATGACATACATGTACATCTGGCAGTAATTATTGGAAATCGTTGAAAATCAATAGGCTTCTTTGTCTCATGGCCTTATATAGTGTGTATAAATTTAAAGTCAATCGGATATTAACTTTAGCAACTATATCGACAGGGACGACGACAATATTATGGTACCAAAAATTATAAAATTATGGTACCACCATTTATATATATTCCTTGGATTCCCAGACCTGGTATATGAATGCATATTAGTATACATGTAGCTGTATGTTTTAATTATATGTAATATGAACACTCCAAACTAATCATCACCTGTCTTTATAATGAACATATAAAAGGTTATCTGAGGTCAATTACAGGCTGTAACTAATGTAAACACTACAGATACTAGGGTGCTAATTTATTACATAAAGTTTATAATGTTTTGTTATGTCAGATAATTAAGTAGATTTATAAAGGTACACACATCTACTTCTATTATTTCTGTTTTATATATCTATATAAAAAAAACCAATGCAAAAAATAATTAGATTTATTATTCATCATCTGAGAATTGTATTTTATCAAAGATTTGTTGAGATTCCAACCAGTCAGTTATTTGTGTCTTAATTCTAAGATACATGTAATACGTTAACATCTATGTTACATTAATCAGAAAAAATTCACAAGTGGAGAAAACCACATAATAAAAGAATATAATTTCTTTTAAATCATATGCTAGAAAAAGAACAAGACGGTACTCGGACAGTATAACAAATGGTATACATATTTCAAACATATTTGAAATTCATTAAAAACAATGATACTAATAAAGAGATATCTGTGCCAGACAGAAAAGGGTTTGTGTCTGACAAGTCTTAATTTGTGCCTTGACGTGACAATGCTTTATTTCCAAGCTTAACCCCATTTAACCCCCCTATACACCCATACATTTTGGGTTGAGTACTTTACAAGATCTATAGTTCCTTTGGATGACCGAGAGATTCCAATTTAGATTTGAAAATATGAAGGTAACCCTAAAATTGCAACAAAAGCTTCAGAATTGAATCGATTGACAGGGGTGCTGCTAACTGTTCGTAACCAGATCGACTATTGGCTTTACCTCAGAATGCACCAAATCGAATAAATTTTTCAAAATTTTCCTGATCCCGCCTCCCCATTGATTTCTTTCAGGCTCCCCACAAGGTTAATCCTGCCCTATCTATATTAAACTTGTATTGGAAAAAAATATATGCAAAAAATCATCTTAAACGTACATCTCTACATTGTGGAAAAAAATTTGCTATTCAAATAACAATTTTTTGAGAAAATAACCCCAATATATCAAATAATTGGAATATGGTTGAAATCCCTTAATTTGGTTTTCTAACAATAAAAGCCTGTAGCTCAAATTATTCTCTGAATAGCCCTTCCTTATCCTAGCTTTGATCCTATTGTTGCAGGCTTAAAATCTTTAGACTTAACTGAACAGGGGTACACCCCATTGTATTTAGTCAGATTAGATATATAAAATATCTATAAAACTCACAACTGAAATATATTACTTATCCTTAATATCTTTGAAGGACACTTGAAGTGTCCCCTTATTTTCATTCTTGGGATGCTCTTACTCACCACTCCTACGTCAGTCGAAAACATGTCGGGCACAATAAGTAAATAAATAATTTTATGAGTTGTAGACCAAAGGGCAGAATGTAGAATGAACTAAATATTAACAAATTTAAAATTTCTTCATTATAGTTCATGAAGTAACTTAATATTTTGAATTCTTTGATGAAAGAGTCTCATACATGTACATGTACCGGTAAGTTTCGACTTGTGATGTTGGAAAAATACACATTCAGAGACAAAACCCTACAGTCAAATAACATCCACCTATCAACCATCTTAATAAATTTTATTATTAAACTGATTGACAGACTTAAAACTAATAATCATGATCAGCAAACTAACTACATATTTGTAGGAAAAATATTATATAAATATATGATTTGTTTGCAAAAGGATTTATGATAAAAAAACTGTCAATCATCTCTAACCCCCATTAAGATTACATTATCATAAGAATAAGCTTAGACCTTTAAAATTATTTTTTCAATATAAGCTTATTACTCTACATCCACAGATTGGCAACCAATTTCAAAAGGAGTCTTAGGTCTGATTTTTCATGTTGAGAATAAATTTCGATATTTCTTTTCAATTTTAGCTGTGCTACTACTTGTATGGTATTCATATACATCGCATCTCTGTTAACAACTTTAACTTCTTCAAAACTATTGTGCTAATTCCAATTTGTTGAGTGAAGTTGCTACACTTTATTATATTGAGTTGGGGGAAGAAGGGTACTTTGTATACGATATTAATATTGAATATTTAATGAGAAAACACTTATTAAGATTGTCTCTATTCACGGATACTAAATTTAAAGAATATTTATTCAAATAAGATAGATAATGAATACATATATTGTCAAAAAGTAAGGATTAAAAAACAAGCCAAGGGCTTATATCAATTTGTCTCCTTTTTTAATAAATATACTACATACAACTATAATATGTACACTTCATATACAAAATACATTTAGCAGTACAGTATTTTATATTTTGCTATTAATCGTGCATGTAAATAATTGAATAGTTTGTGTCACTTTCAGTGCATTACCATGTACGCTTGCTTCGTAAGATGTTTTGAAGACGTGAGATGTATAGTAACCGACAAAGTAATTAACTCAACTACTATTTTACAATGGTTATTGGAGTCTTTCAGATAAATGTATACATTTATGGACTATAAAAAATGGGCATATTCATTTGCAATGTATTATTACTATCACCGTTGGTTAAAGTTCGTAAATTAATAAAAATATTTGGTAATGTATTTATAGTTTGAAATCTAACATTGGTAAAATTTGGACAAAACAAATAGTGTTCCGTATCCTCTATATAGTGACCACAGGAACAAGCTGGGTTGTCCGTTAAGTGCATGGCAAATTTATGGTAGTTTATGTTGCTTTTATTGTGACACAGTTTAGTATGGATGATTTGAGAAGAATGCTTTCCGGCGTAAAAGTATTTAGGTAATAAAATATCATCATTAGTTAAAGATACATTATGTAAGATTATATAAACAGCTAGCCAGTCTTTCTATAGTAGTTCAAAAATAGATAATGTAAAATGAATAATTTGAAAATTTCATTCAAATTACTCTGTTGTGAACAAAGATATTAGCCTTTGAAGGTTTTACAAGACGAGTGTATTAATTTCAACCACCGTTCTGGTTGTTCGAAGCTAAGTCTCACTCCTCCATTTTTAAATTAAATCAAAATATGTGCTTTAACTTTAAAGATTTTTATAGTAGGACATGCTTTCATATGTTCAGGTAAATTATTCCATAGCTCTTGTTTTTTTTTTTGTAGTGCCTACTCTTAAAGAAATGGATCTTGTTAACAAAATACTGAGATCCTTTTGTGACTACCATACATGTAGTTAAATTTCATTTCTACAGAGAGAATTTCCATCTATTTTTTCTGAATCCAAACTGCCAATGGGTTTTTTTCTTACACGCATGCCAATGTGTACTTGTTTAGTTTGTCCCATCCAAACAACTAGGCAGAAATTAGTTGTCAACTACAGTCAGCACCATTGACAACTGAAAACCAGGCTTACAAATCATGCTGGTTCTCCAGCATACATGTAAGTTTTGTCACAACAAAGTAAGCATACACAAGCATATCTTGTGCTTGACATCAAATGAAGCAATTGTATTAGGCCTACCATAATGTAAGAACCAGGCATCTGTGTGAGTTAGTTGTATTTTACGTCTGCTTCCACCGAGGTGATGTCACAGACAAACTGGTCAATATGTTGTTGTTCTTAGTGTTTAACGTCCGCTTCCACCGAAGGTGATATCGCAGACAAGTCTTATTTTTCATTTTCTCAGCGCACGCGCAGGAGTCTTTCCCATGGGAGGAAACCGGAGTACCCGGAGTAAACCCACGAGGTTGAAAAGGCACCCCTGTCTCCAAGCCACATACGCTCACACCAGGGATCAAAACCACAACCGCAAGCCAGAGGTGACCGGCCAGCTAGAGGTCGAAGCGTGACGCTCTATACCATCCCAACCCCCAAACTGGTCAATACATAGACTACCCAGTACTTATACCTGATAACTAATTTCTATGATGTATATATATATATATGTTTTAAAATAATTATCATTCAGTATTAATATGCAATAATTTTTCACAGACAGTTATAAAAGAAACAAAATATATGCATTGGTTTGCAAAAATATGTCCAGTGTGAGTTAATGATAAAGTATCAATGAACACTGACACATATTGTTATGTATTGCTATTATATTGTGTATGGGTGTTAATTATCACTTATACACCTCTAATAAAACACCCCTTACATACATGTATACAAAATATTGTAATAGTAATATACATGTATGTACAAGTGTGTATTGATAAATAGCATACTCTAACTTAGACTGACTGGTATTATCAAGTGGGAGAGGTTCTGTCATGAAGGCTGTGTGAAAGTGATAATATACCAGTACTGTCCTAATAATTGGCAATGTAGGTGTAACAGTAAATCACAATTACTTTGAGTAGACCTTATATACACATGTCTAGTCTTCTTCAAAGTATATAAGCCTGCATCAGTAGTAGTAGTACAGCACTGACAGCATGCTCAGCATAAATGAAATGCTTTATAGTTTATATTCCCCCTTTACTTTCTTTCTTTACATTCATAATTACTCTACTGACTAATGTTAAACCGTAAGAGCATTATTGTATTAAATTGAACAGAATAAACAGTTGTGTCTAATACAAACAGTGTTTTCTGTTGAGTTAATCGTGATACTCTCTCTTTCTGAGATGAAGACATAGCAGATCGGTGCAGAAAATAAGCAGAAGTCAAACTTACCCAAAAGTCGAAAGGTTTCGATGGAATCCATATACAAATTCAGGTACGAACTTGTGAAACCAGCGCACCCTAGAAGTAATATACTCCCCAATATTAAAGACAACCCCTTCATTTTCCATGAAAATTGTAACACTCTTTCTCATGAATCGATTTCACTGTTATGTTTGACATACTCTCACTATCTCATATTTTTCTTTCTGTCTAATCTTCAAACCAAAATGTTTCCAAAAATAAATATCAGCAATATTTTATGTTATTAAACAAAACATACCATATACAGCGTTTTCTTCTTTTGATATTCAAATTTGTACATTGTATAGTGTATTAATTTATATCAACATTGTTCACAAACTCTTTTGTGTTGGAGGCTAAACAAAAACTAACATGGCCGACGAGTTGTGAGAAATTTTAATATTGCTCATATTTTCACAAAATAAGAAGTTTGTTAGAGATAACCGTTACCTAATTATAATAGAAACCATTGAATATGTAAGTGTCTTGTGTGCTTTTTGGGTTTTTTTTCGTTCTAAGCGGTTTAATGACATCATTAAGTGAGGTACAAGCGTTTCTCTCTTTTGTTTTTGCTGGAATTTTATCATCCAATTAGTTCAGCTGAATCAGCTCTGAACGTAGGTCTCATTACACTCGACCTGTACGTTCAGGAACCTCCCCATGGAATCCTTGTCGAGAAAGTTTCAACACCCAGTCAATTTTACTGCGCAGCTTTTTACTGCTAAACTGTTGCGTTTCAGTCTCTGTGAACGCCTGTACGTACAATTTAAATTTATAATAACATTAACAATGTACAAATGTAGGCCTACCGGTAACTAAAGGTACATTTTAGTGAGAAAATAAAACCTTGCTTACCTCACTAATGTCAGTACATGTATGTGTGACACAACATGCTGTTAAAACTACATCCTGTTGGGCTAAACCGTAAACAGCTTGGGAGAAGCCATTAAAATCTAGATATTGCATAACACACTAATTTATGTAATTGTAACTTGGTCATATAAGAAGACATAACAAAATTTAAGTAAGCAGGTGAAACAAAATTGGAATTTTTGAAATTGGGCTAGCGATTGCTTCTTAAAGGAGGCAAGTCTCTAACTAACTCAATATCATCCACAGTCTTCGATATTGCAAACACGACTTATTGGTCAATTTAAGCCAACCTTGATGTTGTTATCTTACCATGAAAAGATGGGCTTCTGATATCCAATATTTAAGACAAAATGAAAATTTTAAAACTGGCACACGACTCGTGTTCCAGAATGCCTTCGAGCAGTATTTGTAATAAAGCAACTCAAAGAACATACATGTACCCCTCAGGAAAAGCTACCGGTGAAGACTGGAATAACCAGACGTCAAAGACTGCCAATCAATTTGGACTTTTCGTGTATATTTCGCCCAACATAACTGATTAGAAATTACAGTAAAAACAGAAACGAATGAATGTAAATCGGTTTATATACATTCATTGCGACCCATTTGTGTCCATTTCTATGTGCCAAAGAACAGAGATTTAGCTCCTTATGGGCAATGTGTCGAGACTGACAAGAATGGGACAATAAACTGAGGTCCATTTGTGTTAACAATGGCGTGCACGAAAAAGAACACATGGCAGTTGGGAATCGAAGATGAGTAAGCGGAAACGCCATTGTCTGGGCAAACTTATATCTAAAATTGCACACATAACCATAGAAATAAAGATACCTCATGTTTGTCACATGAATGGTTTAGACCATAGAAATAATGCAATTTGTACATGTACCTGACATTGAAATACAGTAAACCTCGCATAAGTCGGATTCGTATAAGTCGGATCTTTGCTCAACTCGGATAAAATCATTTGGACCCTTTGATCCTGCACGTTTTTCTTATTAAATTTCTGCGCGTAAGTCGGATTTCCTGAGTCGGATCTTTGCTCAACTCGGATCAAAATGTTCGGTCCATTTGATCTAATTCCGGCTTTTTTCCTTCGCCTAAGTCGGATCGGCAGTATGTTCACAACATGCTGTTAAAAATACGTCCCCCTCCGCCAAACGGCCTTGCTGACACCATTTAAATCCAAATACAGGGCAGCACACAAATTTGCGCAACTTGGCTACAAGACGAAACAAAATTGGAATTTTTGAAAAAAAGTGATTGTAATTGGGCTAGGCAAAGGAATAATTGACTGAAGTTTCTCAGCTTTTCAACGATTCTAATTTTTCCCCAACCCAGCTTAACTAAATTTTGTTTCGTCTTATATGGCCGAGCCACGTAAATCCGTACGCAAACCCCACATCTACACCTCAATGGCGTCCGCCAAAGCCGTTTAGCAGAAGGGGACACATTTTTAACAACATGTTGTGTTACACATACAGAGTTTAGCATGGTAAGAAAGGTCTTATTTTCTCACTAAATATTCCTTTACATTGCTCAGACGTTCACAGAGACTGACACACAACTGTTTAGCAGTAAAAAGTTGCCCATTAAAATTGACTATGAATCGATTTTATTTCAACAAGGATTCAATAGGATGGTTCCTGAACGTACAGGGCGATAATGAGACCTACGTTCAGAACTGAACTAGGTCTTCGGCTAACTCGGATCTTCGCATAACTCGGATAAAATTGGTCTGTCCATTTAGATCCGACTTATGCAAAGTTTACAGTACATTTAGAAACACTGATAAAAGATGTTATGTCTGTGTATTATGCCTGTCACAACCTTAATCTATGCCTGACAATGTCTGTGACAGCAACAAGTGCCTTATGTCCTGGGTTGGAAATATATATTGTGTGATAATTTATACATATCATATACATATGACAAAGTCTGTGATAGGTGCCTTTTGTCCAGGCTTGGCAAGAAGACCCTATCACTGGGCTATCAGATATTTCATACTAATTTAAAGGAGCTAAATCGCTAATATTTTGGGCCTAGAAATTGGCACAAATGGGTCAAAACACATATAATAATGTAATATGAATTTATATAAACTGTTTTACATTCAGTCGTTTCCGTTTTACTGTGAATTGTCATCAGTTATGTTCGGCGAAATACGCCAGAAGTCTCAACCGAAAGACAGTTTCTAGCGTCTGGTTATTCCAGTCAACACCGATATAAAATATATTGCACATGCTCTCCAAATAAGAATATGGCATCACCGTTTGACATGACTAGTGGAATATGTCTAGCCTTATTCTTTGAGAGGGGGGTTGGATGGCTGAATGGTTAGCATGCGCGCGCTGTATCATAAAGTCTGTCATTGAGTCGACTGGCGTGGTTTCAAATCCCCGGTTGTATGTGACAAGGAGTAGGGTCGCCTGTCCAACCTCGTGGGTTTTCTCCGGGTCCTCCGGTTTCCTCCCACTGCTAAAGACCCCTACGTGCAATCGAATTATTGAAATAAAATTAAACCATATGTTAGTCCAGAAATGACCTAGTTTGTGTCGAGTGGACGTTAAACCCCATTTCTCTCTCTCTCTCTTTATTCTTTGAGCACCTTGTTACAAATGGTGCTGAAACGCATTATGGTACACAATTCGTGTACCAATGGTAAAATGTTTATTTTGTCTTAAATATTGGATATCGGAAGCCCATCTTTTCCAGGTAAGACCATAACACCAATGCTGATTTAAATTGCAAAAAAAATCGTGTTTTCAATGTTGAAGATTTTGGATGATATCGAGTTACGGACTTAGCTACTTTAAGTAATTATTTGAAAAGTTTGATCAATTTGTTATTGTAAGTATAAGATTAAGAACAGAATGGTTGTTGGATGGTTTAACCCCAGGTCCATAATTGCATTTTGCAATTTTTCTTGAGCTTCACATTTTATCTTTATTTTCTGTTAATTTTCAGTGTTATATAAAGTGAAACATGACAACAGCAGCAAGACCAACCTGGGATACTGCGAGAGGAGGAAGTGGTAAAGGTGAAAATGATTTGAGTGCCCTTTCTAAACAATATTCTAGTCGGGATCTTCCAGGTCATACAAAATTAAAATACAGGTAATAAGGGTTAAGAGTACATGTACCTAATAAGTGTGTCATTTATACTTTTCACTGTATAAGAGTATAATTGTCTTGTAATGCAATAATGAGCACCTGAAACTACAACATTGCTATGTTTCATTAGTCCATAAAAGTAAAATAAAAGAATCATTTGCCTCAGAAAAACATGATCTGTCCAAGCACATTTATTGATGTGTAAGCATAATTATGGAAGTCGTCTATGCAGTATCTGTTCATCTGTGCAATAAGAAAACAAATAATTATTGCTGATCATTTATTTTAACTGTAGTTTTCAAATGTCTGTGCAATATTTGGGTAGGCTAGCTATATATCTACATGCTTGATATTTACCTGTCTCAATCTAACCTCAAACTTAAATTATTCATTGATAAATATGAACCCTTACTGGCGGACAGATCATCAAAGGTCGAAATAAGGACTTCATCTCCTGTTTGCTATTGCTGGGTTGTGGTCATTGTGTGAGGTCACTCCGTAGGATTATTGTTGTCTTTGTATGATTGCATGTGTAACAAAATCTGAACAATTTGCACAGACCATAAACATCTGTCCATCATATTCATCATTTCAAACCTGTGTCCTTAATATGGAATATGTTTATTTCATCCTTTTTCAGACAAGAGGGACAATCTGCTTCTCATGAATTGAGAGGTCGTGATTTCCGTCGTGAACTAGAAGATAGGGAAAGATCAGCAAGAGAAAAACGTGATGGTAGAAATAGAGGTTCAGGTATGTTGTAAAATCTCTTGAAACTGAGAATCCGAAATAGTTTGTAAAAACACCATATTACTGTGGGTCCTCTTAGAAACTCAGTCTTTACTGTTATTTGTTTGTTGGGTTTCTTTTCCCTCCATGGCCATCTCGTATCAATTTTGGTAAATTATTAAAGATACATTATGGGAGATTAGATAAAGAGCTGGCAGTTCTCACTGTAATAGTTAAAAACTAGATAATGTAAAGGGAATTTGCTGAAAATTTCAGTCAAATTGATCCACGCTGAACCGAGAATTTAGCGATTGAATTTTAGGCCTAGCCTCAATCATCATTACTAAAGTTGGTACGATAAAAAATATAGTCTCAATTATCCATTTTTTGTTTAAAATCATCAATGAGCATTGAGCAGCAGATAGGATTCTACTAATCCAGTAAATATCATAGGCTAGCGATGACATGGAGATTTGATTATCTTCTAGATAAATAATTAATGTCTAATTAATAATTTAGATAACATTTCAGACCTAAAGAAAGACCTGCAATAGGCAGATTTAGCTCTTGTATAATGTATGTTTAAATTATCATATCAAAAAAAACAATAAAACTTCAGATATTGAAAATGGATTTGTTTGATTTTCAAAACAGCTCAAATACACTTAGTGCTAATAGTATTATGCTTCAAAGACTGCCTGTTGTAAAATTTATACAATTACCGGTGTAGTTCTGTTAGCATGGTTGGAAATGTGGTCGTATCGTCATTGCCTATGCCCGTCCATCGTCCAAAATTTCTTGTGAACACTCTACAGACTAAATTCATCATCAGATTATTTTTAAATTGATACATGTTGTTTTCATTAGTGAGATCAAGAATCCTATTTTAATTTCAATAATTTCCATTTATTTCTTCTGCGGTTATTGCCCTTGTTTCACTTTGTTGGACATTTGGAATGCCTGAACGACAAAAGTTCTCGTCCGATCTGTATGACATTTATATGCATCATTTAAATTAGTGAAACGTATCAATTACATCTAGAGTTATGGCCCTTGTTTTACTTTGTTGAACCATGTAAATGCTCGAATGACAAAAGTTATCATCCGATCTGTATGAAATTTATATGCATTATTTGAATTCGTAAAACAAAAAATCCTGTCGAATTTCAACAATTACTGTCAATTATTTCCAGAGCTGAGGCTCTTGTTTCAGTTTGTCAAATCTTGTGAACCCTCAAACGACGAAAATTATAATCTGATCTGTACGAAATTATCTTGTAAATTCTTCCCATTACCTACAAAAGAATAAATATGTGACAACTCATGTCGACCACTCAGATGATTTACCTGCTGGGGCGTATGTGTTGTTGCTTGGCAACTTATCTTTTATTTTGTTTTATTTTTAGATTCAAGTAGTAGTAGTAGTAGTAAAAGACCCAGAGTTGAACCAATATCAGCAGCTAATTTAGATGCTGATGATCCTATTGATGATGATGTAAGTTTTCTTTAATTTAAGTTTCTTTGGACAGGATCACAGAAACTTACACTTGTTTATGGTTTTGACATGCATGTCAAATAATGTAGAGTTGGTACCACAGGTAAGTAATTGACAGTAAAAGTCATTTCAACAAGAAACTTTGTATATATAGCATTAAATAATTATTCCATTTTTTTCTGAAAATTGTTTTATCAGGATGATGATGAAAGTTCAGATGATGAAGATGATACAGCTGAATTACTGGCAGAATTACAAAAAATAAAAAAGGAAAGAACAGCAGAAAGAGCTAAACAGGTATGTTAATACCTAACTGTACTATTACTATATTTAATACCTAACTATACTATTACTATATTTATTTAGCAAATATTATGATAGTGCAAGTGCTATGCAGTTCAAATTTTGCTTCGTCTCGTTTACTAATTTTACTTTCATATTTGGAACATTTTCAACAAAGACAGATTGTAATTCCACCAGTGGCGACGCCAGGGGGGGCATTTGCCCCCCCATTAATCTGGTCTGCCCTCTGTTTGCGCCCCCCCCCCCCCCCAATGATTTTAGAAAATAAAAAAAAGTATTTGTGATACGTTTTGGTAATCAATAACTTCTACGGTGAATAAATCCCACATCCCCACTCAGTCATAAACTTGCATGTTGTAAAGCATTTCCGACAGTCTATTTTTCAAAATTTTCTTGGTGAGGTCCCCAATGGACTCGCTACTATGGCGCTCCCAAGGGGAATTTGTTGAGGTTCGCAAGTCCGTTCGTTTGACATTTTGTTCTCCAGTCAGATAAACTAGTGATCAGGCGACGGACGGTATCTGGTCAGACCTATTTATCTCGACGATCGGTGTCTGCCAGAATACTGTAAGACAGCATTTCCGGCAGTCTATTTTTCAAAATTTTCTTGGGGAGGACTCCCTACTTTGACGCTCTTAAGTTGGCTTCGTTGTGATACGCAAGTCCGTTCGTTTGACACTTTACCTCATGGATCAGCGCCTGAAATGCTGCCAGGCTGCATTTCCGGCAATCTGTTTTTCAAAATTTTCTGGGGGAGGTCCCTACCCCTAGTTGAAGCTCGTGCCTTTGCCCCCTTAACCTTGGACTTTGCCCCAGCTTTGCCCCTCCAATCACCGACAGCTGGCGCTGCCACTGAATTCCACTAAACAAAATCAACATATAAAATCCAATGAAATTGTCAATTCTGTTTTGAATCGAATTATTAAAGTCGTCCAGTCATTTTGAAATTTTGTTTTTTGATGATATTCCAGGAAGCAGAAAGAAAGGTGGAAGAAGAAAGAATTCGAACCGAAAATATTTTAAAAGGCAATCCTTTACTTAATCAGAGTGAGAAAACGGATTTTAAAGTAAAGAGAAGGTCAGTAGAAATGTGATGGCAAATAAAAATAAAAGAAATTTTGTACTAGAATGAATTTCCCACACAATTACGTACAATCTTGGTTTTATACTGTTTATTAAAACTGCCGGGGGGGTTGGGTGGCCGAATGGTTAGCACGTGCGTGCTGTATCATAAGGCCTGTCATTGAGTCAACTGGCGTGGTTTCGAATCCCCGGTTGTACGTGACAAGGAGTAGGGTCGCCTGTCCAACCTCGTGGGTTTTCTCCGGGCCCTCCGGTTTCCTCCCACTGCTAAAGACCCCTACGCGCAAGCGAATTATTGAAATAAAATTAATCCATATGTTAGTCCCGAAATGACCTAGTTTGTGTCGAGTGGACATTAAACCCCATTTCTCTCTCTCCCTCTCTATTAAAACTGCCATATGTTTACCTACTATCCGGATTTAATATTGTTTATTAAAACTGATGTATGCTTAATAATACTACTAACATCTGTTCTTTTTAGAATAACGTATTCAAATAATTTGATAAGATTTACCGTAGGGTGTTTCACTTTTTTCGTAATTTCTAAGGTTTCTACCCGTCACCGAAGTACACTCAGGGTCAAACTTACACCGTAATATTTTTAGAATTTCCTTGCTAAAAACGGCTGTCAGCGACCATTTTTTTCCAAAATTGTGGCAATTTTCCGACGTTTAGAGCTTTACAGATCACTTAAAAAGATTAGGTATGGCTTGTAATGTGTCCATTTTATGCTTTTCAGGGATGTAGAGTCCATTCCCACCACCTTAAATGAGATTGTCCGAATCCAAGATGGTGGAAATCCAAGATGGCTCCCCAAATCATCTATTTTTGGTGAAATGGAAAAGCATTTTACAAAGACTATACAATTTTGCACTCATAAAATTCATTATCAGGGCCAAATGTTCAGAATGACACTGATTATCTTTGGTTGAAAATGGCTGAAGGTGAAGCTCCGGTGGAGTATATTCACAAGACTATAAGTCTGGCAGAACTATGGCTGAACTTGGAAATTGTATGCAAAGTTTTTTTATTATTGATTTTTGTAGTTAAGGGCGTCTTCTTTCAGAATCTGCCGGGTGAACCACGGTCACCCTTGAGCACTTTGATTTATTCAAGATGGCGCCAAGACAGCCAGCATTTCAAGCAATCCCCTACAACTCACACTGTATTTAGTCTAGGATGATAATTTTGGTGTCTAACTGTATGTTTGTTTTGTGTCAAGGAATACACTAAAATCGTTCATTATGTTGTGGGGTGATTAGATGATAGTAATGATAGTAAAATCCAAAATTCCAGACAATATGGCCCTTTAACTTGTTAGCGGCGATTGGGGGCGATTATTTCACCAAGCCAAATTATATCTAGAGACAAACTATATATTTCTGGATATAGGAGCATATGAGTTATATGATAACACCACATACATGCCTATCAGGAGCTCCAGGGCCACATGACAGACTCTGGAGCAAGTTGACCAGTTGTAATGTTCTCACTTTAGTAGTCTTCACCCAGCTCAGTGATGAGCTTTTTTTATGTTCCCTGCAAATGCATTATTCTTTGAGCAAGATACATTTCCAGTTTTGGATATCCACAGTGGCCTGTGTAAGGATTGAATCGTATACTACTCTCACGAGTGAGAAAGAATACAATCAAGCTTTCGCCACTTTCTAAGTGGTTCCTTTCCCCATAAGGTATCAGCATGTAACCGTGTCACATCCAGTAAGAGCATGAGCTGGCATTATTTCAATGGTACTGGACATGAGTTAATCAGTAGTTGAACCAATGCCAACGATTGTTCTTTCCTTGATTGGTGATTCCATTGTAAGCTTGTTATGAACAGAGCTCTTGCAAATCGATGTTCGAAACACGTTGGAAAGTATAGGCATCCCAAACGGGAAATGTATCGTCATCATCCCCACCTAAACCATGTAGTCTTGCTCCAAAGAATGATGCATGTGTAGGGAAGGTAAAAAGATGTCATCACCAAGCTATTGTGTGGTGTTGATTGGAAGATCGTAATCCGTCGTTACTTGATCCGGAACTAGATTGCTCGGTTAAGAGAAAATTACAACCGGTCACCGTGCTCCATAGTCTTGTCATGTGGCTCATCAGATGTGGATGCAAGAGTGACAGCTCATGTAGGAGGCTCATGTATTTTGGGCTTCTGCTGTCACATGTTGCAGCTAGAAACACGACTAGAGGTTATTTTCATGTTTTGCGGGTAGAATTTGTTTTTTCAAATATTTGAAAAAAAACAGCTTGTGCCTCCCTTTTCATTGCCGATCCATTTGGCCCTGGAGCTCCTGATAGTCATATTGTCTGTCATTTTGGATTTTACTATCATCTAATCACCCCACAACCTAATGAACGATCTCGGTGTATTCATTGACCCCACAAATATATGGTTAGGCACCAAACGTATCATCCTAGAGTAAAAACTACAAGAGTTATCAGGGATTATTTGAAATGCCAGCCATCTTGAACGCCATCTTGAATTTCTCAAAATGCTCAAGGGTGACCAAGGTTCACCAGTAGATTCTTAAAGAGGACACCCTAGACTACTAAAATCAATCATAAAAAAAACTTTGTATACAATTTACAAGTTTAGCCATAGTTCTGCCAGACTAATAGTGTAGTGAATTTTATCCATCGGAGCTTAGCCTTCAGACATTACCTTCTGCCATTTTCAACCAAAGGTAGATCAGTGTCATTCTGAACAATATTTTTGCCCTGATAATGAATTTTATGAGTGCAAAAGTGTATAGTCTTGGAAAAATGCTTTTTCATTTCAGAAAATATATGATTTTGGGTGTTATCTTGAATTTCCACAATCTTGGATTCTGACAATCTCATTTAAGATGGTGGGAATGGACTCTACATCCCTTAAAAGCATAAAATAGACACATTGCAAGCCATACCTGATCTTTCTAAGTGATCTGTCAAGCTCAAAACGTCCGAAAATTGCCACAATTTTGGGGGAAAAAAGGCCGCTGCAGCCACTTTCGGCAAGAAAATTCTGAAAATCTTATCAAATTATTTGAATACGTTATTCTAAAAAGAACAGATGTTACAGATGTTAATTTACAGCTACTCATCAAACACAAGTTTGCTTGCTGAGAATTTCAATCTAAATTCTTTCCCGATTCAGTATCAATTCTGTTTCTTTCTTAAACAATTTCAGATGTGAATCTTGATACCGTACATGAATTAAGCTTCAGATTCTAATCGCAGTCCTTTACAAAACTGACTTCTGTTGAGTCAAATGTGTGACTTCATTCTGGACAGAATTGAGATTCTTGGCAGTCAAACTCATCCTGAATATGAATCAGAATTCTTCTTTCTTACTATACTCTTCAAAAAAAAGGAGGGGATATTCAGAAACAATACAAAACTGTTGAAATGCACTGTTGTTTTTATTAGAGGTAACCAGTGTATGTTAAATACAGGCCAATTGCCTACACATGAACATAAACAGTTCATATGGGCGGTTTATCTGACGGCCCCATTTCACTCGCAAAGAGATACAGCGTAAAAAGTGAAAATGGGCGTTTTTGATTTTTGTCTTAATAATGAGTAATTGCTCCACCAATCCTCAGACATTCAGCAATTCGTCGTGGCATGCTCCTAACCAACCGTCCAATCACGATTTGGGGCAATCTCCTTATCAAATTAAACGTAACACTCTAAAGCAAAGATACGCTAAATGCAAGAACCGATAGGAAAGCAAACATGGATAGATAAACCAGCACACGGCAGTTTTCATCTTACGCTCTTTATCTGTGAACATACCCTCAAAGCATGTCAAGTGTCCATGACTATTTATCATACCACAACCTGCATAGGTATTTGCATTTCAATATCCCCTACTTTTTTTGTGAAGAGTATATATTAAGGGAAACAACTCTTGTGAAGAAGAGCTTCCCAGAAGATGAGTCTTGAGATAATCTCCATAGACCATTTCATCTTGAAGAATTTGAATTATCCTTTATCTGTACTTCAGTCTTATATTGGTTTACAGTTATTAAAATGTAGATAAATAATACTTCCAGGCAACCAAATTTCTGCACACGTATTCATTTATATTAAATATAATAGCAGGTTTACCCTGATCTGACACCCATATCAGCTTGTGCTATAAGTGTTGCAGTTCTCATAATCACTGCTTCTGGAAATGTATAGTCCAAAGTGCAGACTTTATTGCTAAATGGTCAGAATGGAAATTGCTATGGGGGAGGAGGGGGGGGGTCAAATAGTTTTAAATCACATCAAAAGTCAACATGCTTACCACCTAGCGATTCTGGTGTTGACAAACTTCAACACTTTCTGGATAAGGGTTAACGTCACTAGTTTATGACTCTTTTGTTGTTTTTTTATCAGATGGGACGATGATGTTGTGTTTAAAAATTGTGCAAAAGGAGAAGAGGATAAAAAGACAAAAGGATTTATTAATGACACTTTACGTTCACAGTTTCATCGTAAATTCATGGAGAAATATGTCAAGTGATGCTATTTATTATCGAATGGTACAAAATTGGTGGAAGAATGTGGACAATATTCTAAATATGTGTTTGAAATTTTAATGTCATACAATCCTGTTGTGAGACCTTATAATTCTAGAGCAATGACAATTTAGATAGCTCTTAGCTTAAATATGAAATCTGTGAATATACAATGTGGCATGACATTTAGCCATTTAATTCATAATGAAATGAAATGGGATTTAACGTCCTACTGCAATTCATAATGTGTTTTTAAGTTAAAAAGATAGTTACTTATTGTGTGTATTTATTTATACTTTGTATTAGAGCTATCAAATTACAACACAAAATGTCCATTACTTTGTTTAAAGTAATAAGTGTGAGTAATACACCTGACAGTCTTTTTTTCTATAGTTCATACATGTATGATAGAAAATAATAAAAACATAATATTTTGTTCACTGATTTATAAAGTAATGGATATCCATAATCATTGACCAAACTGGAGTGTTTTTGTATGAAATTACCCATCTCATTTCTCATGTTTATTTCTTGTTGGCCATGCATTCCAAATGGTAAAAAAATGCTTATATTGTACTGCACATTCTTTGTGACATCCAATAATGTTGTCAACAATCTATTCATAACTCATATTTTACAAACACAAGGAGGAGGAATCATCCATTTAAATTGAATATTTCTTGTTGACCCTATGCAATAAACAATGAATGTAGGTTAGCAGTGTAATTGATAAAATACAACATTTGGTATAATACTCATAAGAATGAAAAGATGGGCTGCAAACTTTTACGCTCTGCATTTTCAAAATTGAGGTGATAAGTAGTGTACAATTAGTGTTTTGGTAACCTCATTGAATATATAGGGAATCTCCTACGAGTCTTTTTTTATACCACAAAATATCCACAGAAGTTGATAAAGTAAAAAAATGAGATTTTGTTGAGTTTTTATTTACTTGATTAGTGTTGATTTCTTTTGATATCAAAAAAGACTTGTAGGAGATATTGTACATGTATATCACCCAAACCCTTTCTTATGTGCATAAATAAATAAATACAATTCTTTGGTATAGATTTAATTTTATGGAACCTGATTACATTATGGGGTAGTGATACATCATTTTTTGACAACAATTACCCGCTGCAAGACCTGGTATTTCCTTTAAGGTTATAGAGTGTATTATAATTGTTTATGCTAATTGAGAACTTTTCTCCAACAATATTACTGGATCCAAACAGTAGTTCCTTTTTAATAACAAGAGCAATGCTAACGCTGCAATATAGGTCCACATTCCTGCTTTGAAATGGTACTTTTTAAAATGAAGAGAATGAAATATGAAATGCCTGCAATGACTGTGATATGACAAGAGGCAACGGAGGCTAGGCGTTGGGTTAGTTTTGCCAAATTGTAGCACATTCCCGAAAGCCGGTATTGTGTCGTACCCAATTTTGGTATATTATGCAACGATGAGAATTCCTCATCCGAGATGACCACTGAGCTGATATCGATTTTCCTGGGAAGGAAAAGCCTACTCACTCGGTCTCCTGGCATGAAGGCAAAGAGAGCATAACAGCAGCTTTGGGCTTGCCAATAAACGTGGCAAGAAATTGACACGCACGCATCATGCTTCTGCCACGACCACACCAACCACTTACTACACCCAGCACGCCAGTAAAGATCTTACTACCCTCATTGCCAAGCTGTAGCTACGCGCAACATGTTCCTACCATGATATTGCCGTTAGCAGTCAGATCGGGATACGTTCTTACCACGCTCCCATGACGTGCCTACCAGACGTAAGATGCTCTCTCGCCCACCCCTATAACGATTGCGCCATGCTCACCCGTCCTCATTCCAGTGGCGCCGCCAGGGGAAGGGGGCAAGGGGGGGGGTCATTTTCCCCCCCATGAATCTGGTCTGCCCTCTGTTTGCCCCCCCCCCCAATAATTTTAGAAAATAAAAAAAAGTATTTGTGATACGTTTCGGTAATCAATACCTTCTATGGTGAATAAATCCCACATCCCCACTCAGTCATAAACTTGCATGTTGTAGAGAATTTCTGACAGTCTATTTTTCAAAATTTTCTTAGCGAGGTCCCTAATGGACTCGCTACTTTGGCGCTCACAAGGGGAATTCGTTGAGGTTCGCAAGTCCTTTTATTCTCTAGTCTGATAAACTAGTGATCAGGCGACGGACAGTATCTGGTCAGATCTATTTATCTCGACGATCAGTGCCCGACAGAATACTGTAAGACAGCATTTCCGGCAGTCTATTTTTCAAAATTTTCTGGGGGAGGACTCCCTACTTTGACGCTCGTGAGTGGGCTTCGTTGTGATTCGCAACTCCGTTCGTTTGACACTTTACCTCATCGATCAGTGCCTTAAATAATGCCAGGCTGCATTTCCGGCAATCTGTTTTTCAAAATTTTTTGGGGGAGACCCCCTACCCCTAGTTGAAGCTCGTGCCTTTGCCCCCTTAACCTTGGACTTTGCCCCAGCTTTGCCCCTCCAATCACCGACGGCTGGCGCCGCCACTGCCTCATTCACTTTCAAAGCAGAGAAAGATGTTCAGTATCTTCCCTAACAGCGTAGTAAGCATGTGGCCAAGAGATTCGTTCCAGCCTGGCGGCAACGTGGTGGAAACGTGGCTGTAAATGAAATACTTGCTAAGAAGCCCCCATAGCATAGATTATGTTATCAACTGACTTCCAAGCTGATTGTGGAACGAGTATGTGGCCGGCTACTTTGACTTCACTGCCTCTAGTTATTTCAATAGTGATGACAGAGATATCATAAATGATGGGTAAGTGGTGATATAGTTTGTTTTTCCAGCGCAACAGCATTCCCCACAATGACTTTTTCCACACGCAGCTTGGGGTCAGTTGATAATATAATCTATGCCACAAAGGTTTCTTATAACAGGTATTACTATTTATTTGCAGTCCTTGTTTTTATACGCCCACATGGAAAATTGGTCGTATATTGCCGTCGCCCCGGTCCATCGTCCACAATTTCTTGTGAACACTCTACAGACTACATTTATCAACCGATTGTTTTGAAATTGATATATGTTGTTTGCATTAGTGAGATGAAGAAGCCTATTTAATTTCAATAACTTCCATTAATTTTTTCTGGAGTTATGGCCCTTGTTTTACTTTGTTGCACCTTGTGAACGCTCTATCGACAAAAGCAAAAGTTATCAACCAATCTGTATGAAATTTATATGCATTATTTAAATTAGTAAAACAAAGAAGCCTATTGAATTTCAGCAATTTCCGTTGATTACAACTATAGGTATGGCTCTTGTTTCACTTTGTTAAATATTGTGAACGCTCTAATGACAAAAGTTATCAACCGATCTGTATGAAATTGATATGCATCATTTAAATTAGTGAAATGAAGACGCCTATTGAATTTCAGCAATTTCCGTTAATTTCTTCTGGATTTATGGCCCTAGTTTCACTTTTTTGCACCTTCTGAACGCTCTAACGACACAAATTATCAACCAATCTGTATGAAATTTATATGCATCATTTAAATTAGTAAAACAAAGAAGCCCATTGAATTTCAGCAATTTCCGTTGATTACATCTAGAGTTATGGCCCCTGTTTCACTTTGTTGAATCTTGTGAACGCTCTAATGACAAAAGTTATCAACCGATCTGTATGAAATTTATATGCATCATTTAAATTAGTAAAACAAAGAAGCCTATAGAATTTCAGCAATTTCCGTTAATTACATCTAGAGTTATGGTCCTTGTTTCACTTTGTTGAATCTTGTGAATGCTCTAATGACAACAGTTATCATCCGATCTGTTTTGAAATTGATATGCATCATTTAAATTAGTGAAATGAAGAAGCCTATTGAATTTCAGCAATTTCCGTTAATTTCTTCTGGAGTTATGGCCCTTATTTCACCTTGTGAACGCTCTAATGACAAGTTATAAACCGATCTGTATGAAATTATATGCATCATTTAAATTAGTAAAACAAAAATGCCTATTGAATTTCAGCAATTTGCGTTAATTACATCTAGAGTTATGGCCCTTGTTTCACTTTGTTGAATCTTGTGAACGCTCTGATGACAAAAGTTATCAACCGATATGTATGAAATTGATATGCATCATTTAAATTAGTGAAATGAAGACGCCTATTGAATTTCAGCAATTTCCGTTAATTTCTTCTGGAGTTATGGCCCTTGTTTCACTTTGTTGAATGTTGTGAACGCTCTACTGACAACAGTTATCATCCGATCTGTTTGAAATTGATATGCATCATTTAAATTAGTGAAATGAAGAAGCTGAATTTCAGCAATTTCCGTTAATTACGCCGTGAGTTATGGCCCTTGTTTCACTTTGTTGTACCTTGTAAATTCTCTAACGACAAAAGTTATTATCCGTCGGATCTGTATGAAATTTATATGTATCATTTAAATTAGTAAAACGAACAAGCCTATTGAGTTTCAGTTATCATCTTAATTAGTGAAATGAAGACGAACAAGCCTATTGAATGGCAGAAATTTCCGTCAATTACGTCTTAGAGTTATGGCCCTTGATTTACTTTGTTGAACTTTCGAACAACAAAAGTTATCATCCGATCTGTATGAAATTTATATGCATTATTTGAATTAGTAAAACGAAAAAAGCCTGTCGAATTTGAACAATTTCTGTAGATTGCTTCCAGAGTTACGGCCCTTGTTTTAGTTTTTAGAACCTTGTGAACCTTCAAACAACAAAAATTATAATGTCATCTGTATGAAATTGTCTACTAAATTCCCCTAATTACCTACAAAAGAATAAATATGTGACAATCATTGTCGACTGCTCGGACGATTTAGCTGCTGTGGGCATATGTTTTGTTGCATGGTAACCTATCTTTATTTCTTTGTATGCCGCTTTAAATTTAATATCATACATTTCTGTTCTACTTTTTATACGCCCAAATTGAAATGTGCTCTCAACTGGCGTTGTTTCGAATCCCTGGTTGTACGTGACAAGGAATAGGGTCACCTGTCTAACCTCGTGGGTTTTCTCCGGGTCCTCCGGTTTTCTCCCACTGCTAAAGACACCTACGCGCAAGCGAATTATTGAAATAAAGTTAAACCATATGTTAGTCCCGAAATGACCTAGTTTGTGTCGAGTGGACGTTAAACCTCATTTATCTTTCAGAAATGTGTTCGTATATTGTTGTCACCCCTGTCCGTCCCTCGGTCCGGCCTCCACAATTGCTTGTGGACACTCTATAGGCTAAAGTTAATATCCAATTGACTTTATTCCTTGTGTTTAAGGTCATGAGACGAAGAAGCCCATTGATTTTCAGCAATTTCCGATAATTTTTGCCAGAGTTATGGCCCTTGATCACTTTGAAAAATCTTGTGGATGCTCTAGAGGCTAAAGTTAATATCCGATTGACTTTAAATTTATACACAGTGTTTAAGGTCATGAGGCGAAGTAGCCTATTGATTTTCAGTGATTTCCGATAATTACTGCCAGAGTTGTGGCCCTTGATCACTTTGAAAAATCTTGTGACGCTTTAGAGGCTAAAGTTATCATCCATGATGTTAGAAGTTTCGTATACTAAACGTTAGCATGGGGCGGAACTTTATAAAAACCAAACAAATTCTAACGGTTTTCTGATAATTACTTAATGAGTTGTTACTCTTAATCAGATTTTAATGTATTATAAATGTTTCTTTACCGAAAAAAGTAGAAATATGCGACAACTCTTGTTGACTGCCCGGACGATATAGCTGCTGTGGGCGTATGTTTCGTTGCCTGGCTACCTATCTTTAATTTATTAATTACCTTTTCAAAAGTTGTAAGTCTCACATTTTTAACCATCGTTAATTTTGTATCTATAATTGACAGACAACATAAACTGAAAGTCTCGATGGCACCACCAAGTCTTAAAATCAGACTTGAGTCCAACTACTACAACGCGATCGACCAAGTAAATGTGCTATTTTCCTGGATAATCGATATTAGTGGTCAACTCGGAAGAGGAATGGGTAAAACACGCCACTGGCTTCCAGGAACATGCTACAAGCTTATACATTGCAGAATTGGATTCAGAAACCTTTACAGTAAGGTGTTTTGGAAACGTCCAGCCACAAATGGCAGCCATATTCTAAATAATAATATGTTAACATGTAATCATTTTACACAATTGTAAACGGCAGAAATGGAATCTGTGCCACGAAAACATATATTTTATCCTGATACCATTGACGACTACTTCATCAATATGAGCATATTATCCCATTTTGCCGCCAAAAATAGCCTCAGTCTTGGAAATATGCAAAATATATGAACACACAAATGTAAACGGCAGAAATGGAATCTCCTCCCCGAAAACATATATCCTGATACCATAGCCGACTACTTAATCAATATCAGCACATCATCCCTTTTCACCGCCATCTTTGAGATATGCAAAATAAGTGAACTTGCGATCATTTTACACAGTTGTAACTGGCAGAAATGGAATCTGTGGCGTTGAAAACGTGTATACTCTTCAAAAAAAGTAGGGGATATTGAAATGCAAATACCTATGCAGGTTGTGATATGATAAATAGTCATTGACACTTGACATGCTTTGAGAGTATATTCAAAGATGAAGAACTTATCGTCCCAACAGAACTACTGAGCTGCACATGCGACACGCAATAGCGCCATACACGTGGGAGGGGTTCATTGTCAAATTGACACTTCAAGGAAGGTTGATGAAAACTGCCGCTTGCTGGTTTATCCTATCCATGTTTGCTTTCCTATCGGTTCTTGCATAAGATTTACTATTTAGCATTATCTTTGCTTTAGTGTGTTACATTTAATTTGATCGGGAGACGTGTTCGTCAACGTCAACACTGCCAGAATTGGCCGTGGCACTGCAAGAGGAGTGGGTCAAATTGCCCCAAACCGTGATTAGAAGGTTGATTAGGAGAATGCCACGACGAATTGCTGAATGTCTGAGGAATGGTGGAGCAATTACTCATTATTAAGACAAAAAATCAAAAACTTCCATTTTCACTTTTGAAATGGGGCCGTCAGATAAGCCGCCCATAAATATGAACTGTTTATGTTCATATGTAGGCAATTGGCCTGTTATTAACAAACACTGGTTACCTCTAATAACCAGCGGCTGCCAGGCAGGATACGCCCACATTTTGCAAGAGATGGGGAGAGAACAAGCTTAAAAAAAGATAGGTTGCCAGGCAACGAAACATACGCCCACATCAGCTAAATCGTCCGAGCAGTCAACAAGAGTTGTCACATATTTTTACTTTTTTCGGTAATGAAACATTTATAATACACTGAAATCTGATTAAGAGCAACAACTCATGAGGTAATTATATGAAAACCATTATAATTTGTTTGGTTTTTATAAAGTTCTGCCTAATGCTAACGTTTTGTATACAAAACTTTTAATATCATGGATTTAGCTGTTCATGTCATAAAAATTCATTGAAAATCAATATACATGTTCGTCTCAAGATCTTAAACTCTGTGTATCAATCTGAAGTCAATCTGATGATAACTTTAGCCTTTAGAGCGTCACAAAGTGATCAAGGGCCAAAACATTGGCAGTAATTATTGGGAATCGTTGAAAATCAATAGGATTCTTCGTCTCATGACCTTAAACACTGTGTATAAATTTAAGGTCAATCGGATATTAACTTTGGCCTCTAGTGTCCACAAGATTTCTTGAAGTGATCAAGGGCCATAACTCTGGCAGTAATTATTGCTAAAAATCAATAGGCTTCTTCGTCTCATGACCTTAACCACTGCGTATAAATTTAAAGTCAATCGAATATCAACTTTGGCCTCTAGATCGACCACAAGATTTTTTGAAGTGATCCAGGGCCATAACTCCGACAGTAATTATCGGAAATCGCTGAAAATCAATAAGCTTCTTCGTCTCATGACCTTAAACAATGTGTATAAATTTAAGGTCAATCGGATATTAACTTTGGCCTCTAGAGCGTCCACAAGATTTTTCAAAGTGATCAAGGGCCATAACTCTGGCAGTAATTATCGGAAATCGCTGAAAATCAATAGGATTATTCGTCTCATGATCTTAAACACTGTGTATAAATTTAAGGTCAATCAGATTTTAACTTTGGCCTCTAGAGCATCCACAAGATTTTTCAAAGTGATCAAGGGCCATAACTCTAGCAGTAAGAATCAGAAATCGCTGAAAATCAATAAACTTCTTCGTCTCATGACCTTAAACACTGTGTATAAATTTAAGGTCAATCGGATATTAACTTTGGCCTCTAGAGCGTCCACAAGATTTTTCAAAGTGATCAAGGGCCATTACTCTAGCAGTAATTATCGGAAATCGCTGAAAATCAATAGGATTATTCGTCTCATGATCTTAAACACTGTGTATAAATTTAAGGTCAATCGGATTTTAACTTTGGCCTCTAGAGCATCCACAAGATTTTTCAAAGTGATCAAGGGCCATAACTCTAGCAGTAATAATTGGAAATCGCTGAAAATCAATAAACTTCTTCGTCTCATGACCTTAAACACTGTGTATAAATTTATGGTCAATCGGATATTAACTTTGGCCTCTAGAGCGTCCACAAGATTTTTCAAAGTGATCAAGGGCCATTACTCTCGCAGTAATTATCGGAAATTGCTGAAAATCAATAGGGTTCTTCGTCTCATGACCTTAAACACTGTGTATAAATTTAAAGTCAATCGGATTTTAACTTTGGCCTCTCGAGCGTCCACAAGATTTTTCAAAGTGATCAAGGGCCATAACTCTAGCAGTAATTATCGGAAATCGCTGGAAATCAATAAACTTCTTCGTCTCATGACCTTAAACACTGTGTATAAATTTAAAGTCAATCGGATATTAACTCTAGCAGTAATAATTGGAAATCGCTGAAAATCAATAAACTTCTTCGTCTCATGACCTTAAACACTGTGTATAAATTTATGGTCAATCGGATATTAACTTTGGCCTCTAGAGCGTCCACAAGATTTTTCAAAGTGATCAAGGGCCATAACTCTGGCAGTAATTATCGGGAATCGCTGAAAATAAATAGGGTTCTTCGTCTCATGACCTTAAACACTGTGTATAAATTTAAAGTCAATCGATTTTAAGTTTGGCCTTTAGAGCGTCCACAAGATTTTTCAAAGTGATCAAGGGCCATAACTCTGGCAGTAATTATCGGAAATCGCTGAAAATAAATAGGCTTCTTCGTCAAGACCTTAAACACTGTGTATAAATTTAAATTCAATCAGATATTAACTTTAGCCGCTAGAGCGTCCAACTGGAAACGCCGGAACGACGGATGGGGGCGACGACAATATACGACCACATTTAAATGTGGACATATAACAAACGGGATTTTTCGTACAATCAGGGGCAATAATCTAGAAAGTTATGACCTCTATAGGGTGCACAAGCTAAAAATGCGATTTTTCGTACAATCAGGGGCCATAATTTAGGAACTTACGGTCCGATATGGTCGAATATCGAAAGGAACCGAGATCTTTGGGTTATTAACTTACATTTCAAGTTTCCTCAAAATCGGATAAAAATTGTGACATCTAGAATGTCCACAAGCTAAAAACGCGATTTTTCGTACAATCAGGGGCCATAATCCATGATGTTACGGTCCGATACATGCCAATATCGAAAGGGAAGAGAAAGCTATATTTCAAGTTTCGTTGACAATATACGTCCACATGAAAATGTGGGCGTATAAAAATATTGTCTACTTGTTAGTTATCACTAATGTTCATCTTTAAAGTAGTAGTCCCAGATTTTACAGGACACCATAAATACATGTAATGGTGAGATTAACCACGTAAATGCAGTGCCTGAAAATGTCAGGATTACATAACATGTTTAATGAATTCATTTCTTAAATGAGGGTTAATCACCACAAACCATCACCAAACATCAACAATGATATGATACATTTAATAAGCACTTTCACAGTCTGGATTTAGCAGACTTACATCCAACCCAGGTGGAAATTGAAAGTTTGTATTACTTTGAAAAATCATCAGACCTTCAGAGGACTAGGATAAAGGGTTCACCAGTCTTTCACTTCGAATTAATCAGTTTTATTCACCAAACTGTATCTGGGACTGCTCACAACAAGGATTAACATTCAGTGATATTTCATAGAATAATCATTCTTCCATATAATATACATTGATGTGTGGTGTTTTGTTACAAAATTGTTTTGCCATCAGTTTGTGATCTACAAGAAAACTGGCTGCATGTCTACAACCACTTATCTTTGATGTGATAAACCTCATTGATGGGGGTCAAAAGTATAATTGTCAGTTGAGTAAATTCGTTTTGTGTGATGACAATCTGCCTTTGTTAGATAAAACCACTGTTATGATATAAAGCAATTTTGTGTGCTAAAATTAAAATAAATTCAGTAAATAAGCCAAAAAATTTTTTTAAATGTATAACACAGTACTTCCACTATCACTAATTGAAATAACACCCATCAACCCAACCCAATTCAACCTAAATCAAAGAGGTTCAGCTCCTTTAAGATACTGTAAATACAGTAAAAAAAACAACATAAAGATTATTGTTCAATCAACATAATGTTTAATATCATGTTATTGTAATCATTATAATAGAATTAAAAATATATGTACACTGATTATATTTTTGTTATATTTCATTATACAGAATGAATCTAACTTTGGTGTTTTAGGTCCTGAAGACAGTAATAAAGTTTTTGCAGATTTAACCACAATCCGAGTTTAGAATTCTGTCTCTAATGCAAATGAAGGCAGAAGATTTGCTCTCTAGCGAAGAACACCAAGACTTGATTTCATACTGTGCTTATGATTAAATCCGAACAAGGAATAGACTATAATATTACTATCAATACAGCACACCTTTTAAGGTGCAAGAGAATTTTACAAAGTAAATTATTTAATTAAAATTATAGTGAACTTATAAATCAAGAAAATATAATGCTGAATAAAATAAGATAAAATATATTGGATATAATTTAGTAGTTAAAATTAAATACTAGTACTAGGCCTACCATAAAAGTGCCAAGATTATATAAATTACTATTACTACAATACTCAGCAAAATTAATTTTTTTCATCACCACTACAATAGCCCAATTATTACAAGTTACACTTAGCACTAATTTCTCCATCAAAACTTTCTCACAGTAATATGTCCAACAAATGTTATATATTGGAATTGTCAATCAGTGTTGCCATACAAATTTTGATTTATTTGTTCCTTACTTCAAAAACCTGAGAGAAAATATTGCTGAAGTTGTATCCCCAAAATTAACATAACTTTATATAGTTAAGCATAGATTGCCAAGAAATGAACATATGCACACAGCAGCTAAGTCATCCAAGCAGTCCACAAATGTTGTCATAGCTATTCTTTTGTAGGTATTCGAATTGTTCAAGTCATCAGAAATTGTCAAAAAATCAATAGACTTTCTCCACTCATGAACATAGAAACTGCATAAACTTCCAAGTTTCTCAAGTGCGGTAACAGATCGGAAATCAAATCAATAGGGGCTTCATCTCATGAATTTAACACCAAATAAATTTCAAGTTGATCCGATGATTAGGTTACCCTTTAGAGCGTCCACAAGATTTTTCAAGGGCTATAACTATCAAAAATCGTTCACAAAACATTTTGTATATATTCAAAGTCAATCTGGTAATAATTTCAGTCTCTAAAATGTCCACAAAAAAAGATTTTTTAAATTGATCAAGGGTGATATATCTGACAGGAATTATTAAGAATTGTTAAAAATCAATATGCATTTTCATTAGAGTGACCATCCGTCCCGCATTTTGCGGGACAGTCCTGCAAAATACTTCCAAGTCCTGTGTCCCGAAAACCAGCCAAAATGTCCAGCAATTGCTAACATGCAGGATTTCTATACAGTAATAATATGCCTGAATCTAATCTCACGACGATAGTCTATTTGGGTATTACATTACTTTTTTCCAAAGATTTGTACAACTATTTTTAGACCTAAACTTAATCTACAATTTATAATTCTGTTTCTCAAACATTCTGCACATGCAACATGATCCGTAAGTTTACGTGCGGTTTTGAGCAACATTATTATTCTGAAATGTCCCGCAATATGATCAAGCAAAGGTGGTCACCCTAATCTTCATGTCATGAACACTGTGTATTAGGTCAATTAAATGACAACATTAGCAACTTATGGACATTAACTTCCACATCTTGTGGACAACAGACAGGGATGACGACAATATACAACCACATTTCAATGTGATCGTATTGATCGTATCATAAATTGTTATGTAAAAAGTTTTAAATACACAGCCAAAAATAAATGTTACGTTGTATTTTGGCAGTTTCACAACTGAAAATATGAAATGGATTATGATGCCTGCTTGATTAGATTGTCCAGAACAATTAAAAGACCTTGGTGGCACAGTTTTCAACTTATTTATCTATTCTTGTTAATTCTGAATCTATAAAATCTCGATTCCGACAGTTTGAAAACCATAATTCTTCCAGTCTATTGAAAATTGATTTCACAAATGGCAAAGTTAGGTTATCTTGAATATGGATTTAAACTGTAACCGGTACCTTATTAGAAATGGGCCATGAAAAATTGCATAATTTTGATCTAAAATATCCAGAAAGTTAGAAAGGGGTAACTTAAGACCATCAAATAAACTCAACCCAATAAACTACACACCAAGCCAATGTGAACTAACAGAGAGATCAACATCAGCATTAAAAACAATAATAAACTCAATGCCAATTATATAAATGACATAAATAAAATTTCAAAAACATATTTACAATATGCATAAATAGACTAGATGAGAGATATTGTTAACTCTGAATATGGTGAACATTTCAATATTCACCATTAAGATATCTTTAACAAGAGTAATGAAAGAGGTTTATCTCTATATATTAAAACTACATACATATTTACATAATAAACATGAACATATATACATGACAATTATTAGTAATATTAACCTAGGAAAACTAAGTATAATTTTGCTTACAAGTGAGTCTAAATGAAGAGATTTATTATAATTGCATGAATTAATACAGTACTGTCTGGATATTGAAATATATATTTTGGTAAGATGATTTTATTTGACATTAATTACAGGTTTGAAATACCTCAGTTTGAAGCATAAATACTGAAAATATGTTGTATGAACATCTACTAAATATATGTGATGTAAATGTATTATAAATATTTTGTAGTTGTATGAATCTGTAATGTATCAGTTTGTTCTCTTTATGAGCATATTGACTTATCCGTGGCTGTCACAATTTAACTTAATTTGGTTTGACTTGATTTGGTTTGGTTCACTAAATACAAGATTTTAGTCAAACTGCATTATCATCTATTAATTGGTTCCCTGTTTTGATACGATGCCTTATTTTTGTTTTATAACAGCCATGAGTTCATTATTCCTCACTGCTTTATTTTCTAAAGTCATTTTCTTTATTGTTAGTATAAACCTTTGATTTGGTCTTGTAATTGATATTTATATATTATTTTCTATTTTTTGCCATGATTAGGCCTACTGAGTACTGTATATTATGCAGCCCTACTTTTTTACTTGCCCCGCTTGCTTATTTTGTAACTAAAAAGGTTAAGTACCACACCAACCCGGATACACTATGCTCTTTTTATCAGGTACACATGTAAGTACCGATATATGCAATGTCATGAAACACAATAGAAAATCATCTCAGTTACAGCTATAGTCAACAAACTAGAATATATTTAATTTACATATAGTAGTAAATCATGCGGTTTCTATTACTGGTATTACATCCCGGTTATAGTTTACAGTAATTTGATCATACAACAACACATCATTTACATACAACCAAGCTTTATCTAACTGTACAGTACAATTATCGCATGAGTGACTTTGATATACATTATTATAGGCATATATTTATTTTTTAAAAATACATCTATTGTATTACCTTTTATTTAAAAATGTAAAACAATATTTAGAATAGATAAAAAAAAATTTTATTTTATTACCACATACATGTATAAATCACATTTTACGTCCTTTACCACAAGTGCTTGCCACTATAAATACTAGAAATACATGTCTTTGCGACATTTTTAATAAGAACATCTTATTAGAATAAAGCAGAAAAAAACAAACAGGATCAAATAACCTTTAACATTATTGTTGATTGCCAATGAATGATGGTTCTATTTTCCCACAAACGTTGATCTGCAAAAAAAATCCTAATCTACACCTCTATTCATACGCATTTCCAGAATATTACTTGTCTAATCTATACTTCCTAAAAGTTAGACTGAAATTTTGGAACATATAGAATTACGAAATACCAAAAAATATTAATAATTTATATGCCAAATGGGGCTGGTCATCCTTTCACAAAACAATCCCATGTCATATTTTCATCAATACGTGCAAGCTGATGTTCAGTTGGCCAATCATCATTTGAGCAAGTTTCCAGTTGACCAATTAAATACCAGCTGACCTCACTCTACATGTAGTAAACATATACCTTGCTATGGTCTTTGGAATGATGTAATTAGAAAAAAACAACAAATTAAATGAAATGCAACCTTTTTCAAAAAATTGGTCAGGAAAAATAGAAGAATCATTAATAGCCACACAAAACCAATTTTTTTTTTAGGTAGGCCCTAATTTATTTTGTTTATGTTTTATGGACATGTCAACTGGTGTACTCCAAACTCTCCCCTATTAAAGATTCTTACCTTACCTGTCAGAAAGGGCAGGTATTGTATGTATACTCTCAATAGTAACATGCATCGATCTCTTTAACATGTTTAAGTTTACATGAAGAAAGGACCTTTAAAAGCCAACGAAAGTAGCATCTCAACCAGGAACTTGAACTGTTGCTGAAGCTATTACATTTATAAGTAACATTTCTGTTTCAAAGTCATACATGCATCTTTACATAACAGAAGTCTAACCATTGTGAGGGACTCAACTAAGAATCTTCTTTATACAATATATAGACCTACATGTATATATTTATAAAGATCAAAAAGATTTAAAGTCTATTCATATAGTTTGTAGTATTCTTTCCTAAGCAGTTGGACTATACATGTACATTTTGTTTTTCTAAAAGTCCAGGGGTATGCGATTATTTATCCAGGAAAAAGAGGTACATTTAAATGATGACTAGATTATGAAGCCAGTTACATTTCTAGACTGTTTAACCAATGTGGAACATCCAATGGCCTTTATTTTCTTCCTATCAACATCCTTTTTTTTTTTTACCTTTTCTCTCTGAACCATACAAGAAGAAAATGCAAAAAAAAACCCCTTACAATAGTTACATGTACATTTACGAACTCGATGAAAGGGTACAAGTAAAAAAACATTTAGGAAAAAAGGGTACATTTTGGAAGAATCTCAACCACTGTAATGAACTTGTATTTAGTATTAATAAAAATTCTATAATGGCAAATAAGTAGAGTTGATTCTTTTAAGAAATGATATTTTATACAAAAAAGTCCCAAAAAACAATGTACCAAAACAGGAGTGTACCTGGTACAGTATACACCAACAATTTATAAATTAATTGACTTAAGAATGTGGAACAATACAATTATAAAATTTATATTTTTGGGCATGAACACAAGGTTAGCATGGAAACAGTTAATAAGTATTTTCATGTCCAGCTAAAACATAAAGACTGGAAGTGGCTGTAGGTTCGTTGATTGGACGAGATTCCAAAACAATCACACGATCAGACCCTAATAAACGAAATACCCTAGATTTATCACATATTTCTTGAGTCACTTCATTTGCTTTGAAACTACGTCCTTGCATGCCATGTTTATGAAAGGCTAAGACACTATCTGGTAGACAAACTAAGGATTCCACAGGAAAATCTACGTGCAATTCAGCTTGTTGACGTCGGCTTGATTTCATCTTTCCACACATATTTACAACTTTGACAAATTTATCGTAACAAATAACAACCGTATCTTTTTCTACCTGCGTAACATTAACAACCGGTAGCAGATCACCAGAAAATGAATCAATATCAGTGAACCAATTTGAGGTAGAATTCAAATTGATAATGTCAAACTTCACATGATTTCTATCATTTCCTTTACGAACACCAACACAAACCATAGGATATTCAAGCTCTGGACTAATGAACATTTCGAAAACATTCAATTGAGGGGGTATACACTCAATTTCAAAAGTTTTTAATAACATAAATTTGTTAAGTGGCTCATACCATTGCATTAAAATGATGCCATTTATCATCGAACCACACAAATATCGATAGCCATTATACGGATTCCTTCCCACACAGCACTGCATACATCCTCTTGTGTCAGGAACTTTTGTGGTGAGTTGAAGTTTCCTAGGAACAAGTTTTTCTGGAATTTTGTTCATCGCATTTGGAAGTGAAAAACCGTATCGTGTTGATTGCCTAGTGTGCAGCATCATCAGATCGTGCCGATATAAATGAGTTGTTTTACCCGAGACTGACATCAAAATGTCTTTTATCACATACAACCATGTGCACTTTCTGGCATGTAACAATTCTAAAGAAGACTCATGAATTTCATTTAAGTTCAAAGTATACAGTCCTTCATTGGCACCTATCAAAATGCGCTGATCTCTCGTCTCTGGGTGAACCCAACTAGCCGTACAGTTTATTTGTAGCGGACACCCATTAAATACCTTGGAGAAACATGCACCCATATGAACTTTTGGTGTTGGTGGAAGCCCGTTACTAACAGGTCTAGGTACTGTCGCATCCTTTTCCTTTTTTACTCTTCGCCTAGGCGGTAATTCTGGAGGTTCCTCTACTGGCGACACCGCATTATCTAATGGTTTGACGCTACCATTTTGTTGGAGTTTTGGTGGAAGTTCAGGAGGGGTTTCTTCAATAGGATACTGAGTTGGTATGGTTAAGTTAGGTGCAAGGGTTAACATTCTATCAATCAATCGCTCCAGATCAGCCTCGTCATCAGCATTAAAATCAGTCTCCACATAAACATTACTAGTTTCTGCTTCATGCTTTTCACTGCCGTCCATCGGCTGGTAAAAGTTTTCTGATTTTGGAGCAGGAGGTGTTGGTAAAACTTGAAGCGTTGATTTGAAAGAGAGATCATCTTGTGAAGCTTTAGCGGTGTTGTAGCGGTCATTTTGATCAAAATCTGTGAAATTCCATGGTTGAGCAAATTCATAGCCAGCAGCACCCTTAGCAGATTTTACTGGAATTTTATCATCTAATAAATCAACACTGTCATCTGTTGTCTCGGATTCTGCCTGTTTACCAGAATTACCAGACGGTATTCTTCTTGGCACATCTTGAAGTCCTTCATCATCAGTTTCGGTCAAGTCATATTGATGAGTTGGGTTTCTGGATTTATCCAATAACTCTTTGGTCAACCTGCGGGTTAAATCACCTTGTAAAAGTGGATGCTCTAACAGTTTTTCTGCGGAAGGTCTCTTTTTGGGATTCTTTGTTAATGCCAGCTTCACAAAATGCTGTAACACTGGGGACCATTTGTTTTTATCTTTGAGCTGTGGTGGTTTGAATCCACTCTTAGACATAAGAAATAACGCTCTCATGGGATGAAGATCAAACATTGGTGGCTGTAATTCAGCAAATTCAATAGCTGTAATCCCCACAGCCCATATATCACACTGTTGATTATATCCTCCTTTCCTTTCCACGGCAGCAACTTCTGGTGCCATCCAATAGGGTGTTCCTATGAAAGACTTTCGTTTACACATTGTGGCTGTGATTTGTGCTGACACTCCAAAATCAGCTAACTTGACATCACCTTCATTTGTCAACAAAATATTGGCGCCCTTTATATCTCTATGCATTTTACCCTTTCTATGTAAATATAAAAGTCCCTTTAATGTTTCTCGACACAAGAATGCTATCTGAGGCTCCCCCAATGGCCCAGTAATATGATAAATATCTTGCATAGATCCTCCACCACAATATTCCATTGCAATCCATAATTTATCTCTTCTCAAATAACTGCCATAATAAGCAACAATATTAGCATTCTTACAGTCTTTCATCATTATTATCTCTTGCTGAATCACTGCGAAATCATCACCTGGCTCAAGTTTAATAACTTTTATGGCAGCTAATTCGCCAGTGCTTATATCTTTTGCTTTATATACGTCGCCATATGTGCCACTCCCCACTCTCTGAATCAGTTCGAAATCGTCTTGAGGATTTCTACGGAGTATTTCTGCCGACATCATCTCTATAAGTTTTGAGTGAGTCGTCTTGATATTGTAAATGTGGTTCTATTTGATTTGTTTCATTCCATTTTGGATATTCTTCATCACTAATGCCTACTTCCGCTGGAAAGCACTCGACATAGTCATAAAATCTTGAAGTACGGATAAAATGTCAGATATGCCCTGGCGAACACGATTCATTACACTTGCCGAATGACAAAACATTCGGGACACATAGTTCAATTTCGGGTACATCTTCCACCATGCCCAGACCGGAATAATGAATACGGGCATGTCCCTAATACTAATAAACCAATCCAGACGAGTGGAAAAGAGATTACTGTGTTGAAGGTCATTAACGAAAAAAAAAAAAAAAACATCCCAAAAAATTATAACATTTTGTGAGATACTATAAAATGCTACAAAATACTATACAAAGAAATTCAACCTGTGCATTTTCTCTTCGTAGGAATACAGATCCAAGTGTAATTTCCTTTAGATTTCTACAGGATAATGGAGATAAAAAAAAGTAAATTCGTTAGTAGAGCCTACTGATAATAAACCCATGGTGTCCGAAGTGCATTACGTTTTCTTGTGAATAAAAGTTTTGCAAAAATATCGCAAAAATAAAGCTCACCGTTCTTGTTAAACTGAAATCGTAGAATTTTGAACCCGACATTAAATCATACAGGTGATCATTATTCTAACCCAATGTTTAATATGTATGATATGTGTGTGAACTAGTTTTGTTTAACGCCCGCTTCCACCAAAGTGACATCGTCGACAACTGTAAAAGATGCCATTTCTAGTGTAAAAGCGTGACTAATCATACTACACATCACTATTGTGAAAACACAAACAATCACGAATAGCGGACTGTTTATGAGTAACATCCTAAGTAGGCTATAAAATTAATAAGTATATCTTATTACTATTACCTTTCTCTACAAGTCTTACATTTTTGATTGTGCTATTTTATTGACAGAACTTCATTTAACTATTGTTTTTCCTGTTTGAGCTTTATCAAGAAGGGGACTTGTCATCATGCTTCAAACTGGTGCACAACCAAATAAAGTCAAGTAGTCGTTTCGAACGGCCCAAGCATGCACGTGGAGGGGAGGCCTCGTGGGTTATCGCTGGACACGCTAAAACCCACTTCTAAAGACCTCTATGTACATGTTAGCGCATTGTTTAGCTAAAAATGTATCCAATGACCAAGTTTGAGCATGGACCTTATAATACAAGGTCCATGGTTTGAGTGAACGTTAAATGGCACCTCTCATTAAACTGTCCATAGTCTTGCGAATGTGAGATACATGTATTCACGTTGTAATAATCGGCGAGTTCCGATTGAAATGGTCTCACTCGGCAAACCTCAGCAGATTCCGCTACAGTCATAGATAATCCTATATAAAGACCTATGAGTACAGTGACGGAAAAACCGAGGTTTGCCGAGTGAAATGGTCTGTGAAGAACTAGATGTATTTGTTAAGGCGAGCTCAATTTTCGTCAAGGTCGCTGAGATGTAAATAAGGTTAGGGTAAGTTATTTTTGGCGAGATTGTAGGTTAGGGCTAGGGAAAGCGTTGGGGCTAGGTCCAGGGCTCGGGTTAGGGTTTGGATTAGCGCTAGCCCTCTTTACATCTCGTGACCTTTGACCAAACTTGAAGTTGGCCTTATCAAACAGATCTAACAGTCTAGACGACCATGCTCGGGATTTCTGACTTCACTACCGATCTAAGCAAGTTCGACTTGACGTGCAAAGAACTCTGGGTGAAGTTTATTTATTTCAACACGTGAAACGTAAACATTCGATTAGATCATCTTAATATCAATTAATCATATCGACCAAGCTAAAGACACATTTTCCTAATTATATTTTCACTATTTCAAGTTGAAATAATGTGTTATCGTTGGAGTCACCTTGCAGAAGTAAAACTATATCAGAATAATTTCAATCACGAAATTGAAGAAGACATTGCTGTTGAATGCCACTGTACAAGAGCATTTATCAGTGATTATGATTTGTACAAAATGGCATTTCAAAATGTCGAAGAAGACAAATTAAATACGGGTGAATCTAACGACAGCGAGAATGATTCTATAAAAGAAGGGCAGAATGAAGTGGAAATTCCAAACAAAGAATCTCAAACCTTAGATTCCCATTCTGAAACTAATGATGATGATGGCGAAGATGGCGATAAAGCTGAACTCGAAGAAGAAAATGAAGCAATGAACAAGATGATGAAAACAATGGGTCTACCCTCAACTTTTGGGAAAAAATCAGAAAGCTTATCTTGGGTTAGTAGTGGAAATACAAAGAAGAAGAAAAAGAAGAAGAGGAAAAACCGAATATCAAAGGTTGAGTCCGAAGACAAAACAGAGGTGTGTAAAAATTGTGATGTTTCTGTTGAAGTTGAAGACAATACTAGTGTTGTCAATGGTCATGTTTTGGAAGATGTTGATGCATTATTTCAAGCATATTGGACACAATATGGAGAAACTCTTCTCTGGCAAAATTGGTTAGCAAAATACCCCGATTATATGGATAAGGAGAACTTTTCAGGAATTCCTGTACCTGTTTTTGAAGTAGAAGTGGCTTCAGAAGATACTACTGTCCAGCAAAATATTGACAATGTAGAAAATTCCCCAAAAGGTCCATTAGTGTCTGGGTTGGCAACAAAAGACAGTGCTTCTGTGGAAAGTGACATTAATAACCACAAAAAAGATTCCCCAACATCTTCTGATAATTTAGGTGAAATGAAAAATTCAGAAAATAATGTCTTGATCAAAAGCATTGAAAATTCTAAAAATTCAGTTACAATCAAGAAAACCTTTTATACCAATAATCCTTCTGGTGTTGAAGACAATTCAAAAGGGAGTCACATTAGTGAAAAATGGGATTTAAGCCCAGAGGCCATTAAAAATACTATGTTACGCAGAAGGGAAATATCTCAAATTATGAATATTGTTGAACCAGAAAGTGAAGAAGTCATGTCAAATACAGCGAACGAAAATAATGAAATAGTTCACATGATGCATTCTTATGCAACAATATCACCACTGACTGATTGCGACACGGGGGAGATTTATCAAGAAAAAGATCCAGAAAGTGAAAGTAATGTGAACTGTAAACAGTCTGAAGAATCATATCAGGAGCAATGGACAAATATATGGAATGAACATTGTACAGAAATATATTGGTACCACTACAACCAGTTTTTGGTATCATTTAGCAAACAGGATAAATCTTTAAAGGAAATAAATAATGAGGTAGCCGATTATGGTTTAAATTTAAATACACTGAATCATTTAAATGATGACTCACATATAGAGGAAACACAAAGTCATAAATTAAATGAGGAATTGTCACACCAAGATTTAATTGATGAAACAGCAAATCATGATTTAGATAGCGAAAAACCAAACCAATATTTAGTTGGGAAAAAACTCAACAAAAATTTTGACACAGACGCACCTCAGAAAGATTTTGACGACACGTGCAATCATGATTTTGATGATAAAGAAACACCTAATCAAGATTTTGATAACACAAAAACACTCAGTCAATATTTTGACAACAACGAAACACTTAATCAAAATTTTGATGACACTGAAAGACTCAATACAGATTTTGACGACACGACACCCAATCAAGATTTCAATGATGAAGTAACTAAGAAACTGAGTAATATACACAATACCTTGCAATCTTGGGGTTACTCAATTTCTAAGTATGAAACTGAGGGTGAGATGAAGTCTTATATTACAAAGGGACATGTAACTTATAAAGAAAAACAAGTAAAACAACAAACAAAAAAACTGAATTTGGGCAAAAAGCCTTCACGTCTGAAGAATGATCAAGAGAGTGGATGTTCTGTTGCTGAGGGTAAGATGTTAGAGAAAGCTAAAGAAATTGGAAAAAACCAAGACTTGAATGAAGCCGATGACCTTGTATCTCCAATGTTGAGTGCAGAAAATGATACCGATCTTATTCCAGTTAAAATGATCAAAACAGAAGAAACAATAAAGGATGGTGATGAAAATGAATGTTGCTGCAATCCCAATCCTAAATGTGAGGAGACTACTGAAGAACTGAAACCCAATCCAAGGGAAGACGATAGTGTAGTGAATCAAATAGAAAAAACAACAAAAAAGAAGTCAAAACACAAGAAGAGAAAATTAATTCCAGCCCCTGCAGAGATTTCTGAAGATGAAGAACTATGTAAATATTGGGCCCAACGATACAGATTGTTCTCCCGTTTTGATGACGGTATAACACTTGATCGCGAAAGTTGGTTTTCAGTAACCCCAGAAAAAATCGCTGAACATATAGCGGAGAGATGTCAGTGTGATTTAATTATTGATGCTTTTTGTGGAGCTGGGGGTAATACTATACAGTTTGCTTTTTATTGTGAACGTGTCATAGCTATTGACCTTGATCCTGTAAAAATAGAACTAGCCAGGCAAAATGCCTGTGTATACGGTGTGGAAGATCGCATTCAGTTTATTGTAGGGGACTATCTAACATTGGCACCATCGCTGAAGGCAGACGTGGTGTTTTTAAGTCCTCCATGGGGTGGACCAGATTATCTTTGTGCAGACAGCTATGACCTAAATAATATGGGTGGCCTGGACTGTAATGCAATATTTGAGAAAAGTAAAATAATAACAGAAAACATTGCATTATTTGTGCCCAGAAATACCATTTTAGATCAGTTGACTTTATTAGCCGGACCTGGAGGAAAGGTTGAAATTGAACAAAATATTTTGAATACTAAATTAAAAACAATAACTGCATATTATGGTCAACTTTGTTTAAGGCAAGATGGGAAATGAAAGATTTTTATAGAGAATAATCAGTTTTTAGTAGTAGTAAATTAAAATAAATGTTAATGTATCTGTACATCTATCATTGTTTGGTGTACCAACCTTTCAAAAACATACTTACTGTCACTGCCACACAGGAATTTCCACTGTGGTGGGACTACTTTAGCTAATCCTTTCTCCCAGAGTTGTTTTCCCTTGCAGTTCACACTGGATAGTTACATTTCATTGGATAAATACTTCCTTTTAACCATTGTCCTTTCTATTTCACAACATGTATGTTTGTGGAGAAAGTCTTATTGGGACCAACACCAGTAATTGCTTCCCACAACTTCATATACATGTATATAGATAAATATAATCTGCTATTTATAGCATTTCTATCTTCCCCTGGAAATATTTGTTGACTTTTTGGTCTAGAATCGAAGTTGAGTACTTGTATTTGAATTTACATTATTGACAGATTTTAGTCAATATTCATGGTTTTGAGACGGAAGGACAAGGATACTTTTATCAGAGGATTGTGACATAAAGATAAATATCATTTTCATCATTGGAATGTTCCAATGTTACATGGATTTAGCATTGGAATCAATGAGGAGAGAATTACTAGTCTTGAGCCTGATTAGCCGTAAGTGTAGTTGCCTCCCTTTAAGATTAATAGACATTTCTCTTTCCAAGATAGAGAGAAAAATAGAGTTTATTTCGGGACTACTCTTTCCAATGAAATGAAATGAAACGAAACGGAGTTTAACGTCCTACTGTTCTGCTTCGAGCTGGGCTAATGAAGACGGGCATACGCCATACAGTGTGCTATGAGGGAAACGGGACCTCGATTTTTCGTGCCATCCGAACGACTAGACAGCTGTCCTTGTCAGGCCCTCCGTCCTGCATCACTGACCAGGGGGAATCGCGCCGGAAAATCTAGACGATGAGACGAAAAACCGAGGTCCCGTGTATACATTGGAATGCACGTAAAAAATCCCTTGGCAGTTGGAATTCGATATAAGAGTAGGCGATAGTGCCGCTGCCAGGGCAAAATTTCCCTCATAGCACACTGTATGGCGTATGCCCGTCTTCATTAGCCCAGTATAGGAGCAGAACAGTAGGACGTTAAACCCCATTTCATTTCATTCCACGACAGAAAGGATACACTGGTTACATAACCTTTGTGGAACAGGTATATTTTTGTAACCCCCCCCCCCCCCTCTCTCTCTCTCTCCCTAGCTCAGGCAGGAATATGACATGGTACTTCTGTGGTATTTGTTAAGAAGCGATAGTCTAGAGGGATTTAACGAGCGTATTAAAAGTTCTTAATTTGTGATGGTTATCATTAGGCGGAGAACATGCATTTGTTAACAGTGAATTAAATTTAGTTTCAAGTGACATTTGCAGTTTAGGTTTTGTTAACTGATTTTTATCTATGTCAAAATTGTTCAGTATCTCAGTACCTAGCCAAGATCATTCTCGGTATCCCCAGTGTACTCATTCCGCTCTACTCCACTATACCCTGGGTTAATCCATAGGATTTCCACGATTTCAAATTATCTGCCCTGGCCTTGATTGTAGCCATGGTCTACGAACCAATCAAAAAAAGAGTTTACAAACCTGTAGTTTCGCTTTCGTTTTTATAAGGGTAGATAATCATATTCATGTCCATTTACCGAATGTGTTATGTAAATAATGTATATATTTCTAATTCATTTATAGTTAATTGTATTATCAAAATCTGTAGTATGTTTCGCCAATTGCAAATATAAGGGTAGATAATCATATTCATGTCCATTTACTGAATGATTTATGTAAATAATGTATATATTTCTAGTTCATTTATATTTAATTGTATTATCAAAATCTGTAGTATGTTTGGCTAATTGCAAATATGTATAACATCTATATGGTTGACTTTTGTTATTATTATTACTTTTTGTTTTTTGTCTGAAATGTTTCATTCTGTTATGTTTATTATTATTGAAGTTATACTTGGCAATTTGATTCACCCCAACTCCGCGAACGAACGAACGATTCTCAATAAAACTCTTGAACCTACATAAAAGTCCCGTCTTCATTAATATAATGTTATATAATTTGTTGTTAGTAAATACGCATTTAGAATAATTTGGACTTCTCTCATTTAGGCTAACTCCTAACCTTGTTCGATTGGAGTTACTTCCCTTTGCCAACTTCCTTTTCAATTAACGATTTATGCGATTGGTCGATAAAAATAGCACAATTATCAAGGGCGGATAACTTGAAAACGTGTCTTCCCCCATAGATAACCCAGGGGTTAGTGGAGTAGAACGGAATGAAACCACTGGGAATACCGAAGATGGGCCAAGATATTTTATGGTTAGATTTAGCGCATCCGCCTTACGTGTTGCAACGAGGAGAGGATGGGTGGTGTATGTGAAGTCGTTTATAGTAGAGCAGCATGCTTTTATAGATGTCGAGCTGGAGTGGAAACAAGCCTACTTCAGCTAGACACCCTATATTAGTGGTTCTTGGTGGTTGTGATAATATAGATTTACATGCATTTGTGGTGAGTTTATTGTGCTCAACTTTGCTCCATTTAGACACATTTAATGTTATGTTATGCATTAGTTTACTCCCCAATATTTCGCTCCTATAGATACTAATTGGCTGAACCATGGAGATTTATTAACACATCAATAGGGACATGGTGAGAAGAGAATAGACCAACTTTACTCCTTAACGTAAACCAAACCCGTTTAGCTTTCTTTACAATGTCCGAAACTAATAGTTCGAAGGATGAGTTATTGCATATCTTGATTCCTAGGTAGATATAAGACTGTACAAATTCAAGATTGAAATCACGGAAAAATTATTTGTTAGGAATAGGAATGGTTTTCTTTAGCTTAAGGCAGTGATTCTCAACCAGTGTGCCGCGGCACACAGGTGTGCCGCGAGATCTTCCTAAGTGTGCCGCGAAATTTTGAACGGCACACCAAGAAAATGCGAAAAGCCACTTGATCCCAGTTGAGTATTCACTGGTGTCTACTGGTACGTTCATAGCTGTGTTTTCTTAATTTAGTTTGAGCCATTCTGTTTCTATGACTAGCCTGTGTCTGTGGTTGTATGCCGTCTATGACTTGCCATGTTTTTATTTTGAAAATTCAGATATTTTCATATATATTTAGCCAGGTGTGCCGCTATTTTTTCGTGTGATCTAATGTGTGCCGTTGCCTAAAAAGGGTTGAGAACCACTGGCTTAGGGTTATTGATAAACAACATAATTTTAGATTTGTCTGTATTAAGGCTCAATTTCCAGTCATCCCAACACTTTTCAAGATGTTGAAGACTATTTTGAATTCCAATTCGGGAAGTGGATAAAAATTCCAGATCACCAGCAAAAAGTAAATGAGGTACAGTAATAATATGGAGTGTAGGGGCATAGACATCAGCTATACTTTCAGTTATGCATGGAGGTCATTGACATAGACGTTGAACAGGGTTGGGCTAAGAACACACCCCTGTTTAACTCCCATGCAAGAATTGATAGGTTCTGAAAGACCTCCACGAGTTTTAACAATATATTTAGATTTGTCATATATTGAGGTAAATAGATTGAATATATTGCCATTAGTTATTATTTAATAACACTCAACGGCTGTACCCCAAACCCCCTATCTGGGTCTAGTGGGCTTACTCAAGTAGGTCCCTACAATGACAGCCTCGATTTAAACCAGTGGCTCTTGTCTCTTTTCTTTACTAATATGTATTATTACTTTAAATGAAACACAAAAAATAACACCAAAATGCTTTATTGGCCACCATACACGTCACTAACCAGTTTGTTATCATTTAGCAATAAGTAATGGCTTTTTTGTACCACAGGTTTCTACTGGGAAGATTGAATTTTAAATTTTAAAATGATTTGTTTTGATGACTGAAAACAGTGTATCAGTCGAGTTAGTTTTCCAAATTATCAGTTAAAAGTTGAATGTGTTTATTATTTGATAGATAGATTTTGAATGACAAACCGAGAACAATTACACGAAACGGCGTGTAGTTATTGATGTAATTCCGTCTTTTTTTCTGACTATGTAGGCTAATTATTAGATGTAATATCACAATAAAACTTTATAAATCTGTTTTATGTCTGAGTTTAACCATTTATTACAGAACACAGACATTTGCAATAAGCACAATTATCGAAACTGACGCGTGTTCATTAAAAAATAGCAGAAAACGTAGCTCAGTGGAGTAGCCTGTAGACAATAGCAATGTCAAAATTTTAAAATCGTGATTGGGCTACAAATATGTCACGTTGTAGTATTTCCGTCGTTAGTACTCACAGAGCATGCAGGGCGTGTTTTCAGCATGGATAAGCCAACCGATTTATATGTGTCACTGGTTTTCCTTTGTCACTGGTTAATCCAATCAGTTTATCTTGCCGCAACCAAGAAGAAGAAAGATACATTTGTCTCCATTTTATCAATTTCTAATTCAGTATTTGGTTCAGAGAACAACTGTTGAATGAAAATATATAACTAGACTCGGTGCATTCTAAACAGAATTATTTTTTACAGCGTGATTATTATTTGTTCTCTCTTTTTTTTAGATGTGCTACGGGTCGTGCTTAAATTTTAATATCGTCTTGAATAATTCTTTCGTGGAACCGCAGCGTCACCCCTCTAACCCATTCTATTATTTACTTAATACAGTAATGCTTTACATACAGCGGTCGACTGGACTGTGTCCGAGCTTGACATATATCGTCTGCTACAACGCAGTATTTCGTCAATAAAACGAAACAAAAATAATTTAGACACGATTTGAAATTGGTAATTTATTACGAATGCTTCACGCAACTTACGACAAGAGTAGCATTCAAGAATACTTTTTGAATAAAGGGAAAAAGAGAAAAAAAAACATTTTCCCTAGCATTTGCCATGCTAAGACCCGTGTTGAAAAAGGTCAGACTAAAAATAGAAACCGGAAATACGTCACGCGTAAAAGCTCCTCCATGGACGTCTGCCGCGCCTGTTGTGGTGGGTGTAGTCAGGGAGAGAAACACGCCCCCAAAATAAGTTACACTAGATTGTTTATTGACCGTGTAAACGTGTAAAACAATTTGCAAGATGTTAAGCTTATCAAAATGTATCAAGAGTACAAAATGTTCCGCTTATCCCAAGGCAGTGGCTATGTGTTTTAGGTTTTTGATAAGAGATGTAACTCAAATTTGGTGGTTACTGCATGTGCATGTAGCCGAAACTCTTTAGATATACATACTATACTGTTTGTATGACTGTATTACTTAGGTGTATATGTATATATTATGTATGAACAAATGTATATGCGTATGTCTAATGTACTTTAGATATACTTTTTAGATATACATACTATACTGTTTGTATGACTGTATTACTTGGGTGTATATGTATATATTATGTATGAACAAATGTAAATGGTCTAATGTATATGCTGCTCTTAATGGACGTCTTAGTCCGATTCGGTTTGTTACATAATTCCCACCCGTCGGCTTTTCGGGTAGAAGTCGTGGAATAAGCTTTATTTTGAAGGTTTTGATGTTTAATAACAAAAAAACAATGTTGACATTTTCTGGGTAGGTCTTCATAGTATGGGAGGCCATTATCTGAGGATAGCCATTTTAATGTTATCAACATATCAACTGTGATTTGGCAATGTATTAATATTGGCAGGGGTCGTGACTATATTTCAGATTTTTTTCCCCATCACTTCATGAAGATATTTCCAAAATGGCGGAAAAATCTTACAATTAAGTAGTAGTGTTTGGTGTCAACATATATGTTTTCAGGGGCACAGATTCCATTTCTGCCAGTTAAACTGTGTAAAATGATCACATGTAGATTCCATTTTGGCCGGAAAATCTGACAATTAAGTAGTAGTGTTTGGTGTCAACATACATGTATATGTTTTCAGGGACACAGATTCCATTTCTGCCAGTTACAACCTGTAAAATGATCACATGTAGACCTAGTTTGCATATTAAGTAGTCGCCTTTGGCGTCAATATATATCTTTTCAGTGGCACAGATTCTATTACTGCCATGACAACTGTATAAAATGATCACATATTCAAATATTTTGCATTTTTCCAAGATGGCGGTCATTTTCTGGCAGGAAAATAGGACGATGTGCTGATATTGATTAGGTAGTCGCCTTTGGAGTCAATATATATCTTTTCAGTGGCACAGATTCTGTTTCTGACGTGACAACTGTATAAAATGATCACATATATGTATTCACATAATCCTTTAGTGGCATTTAGCAATTGGAAACATAACAAAACTATACAGTTATATGGGACAAAAACAGTAGGACGTTAAACCCCATTTCATTTCATTTCATTTATATGGGACAACAATCACTGGTTTATTATACACAAGCACGACGTTTCGATAAGTATTCTCTTATCGTTATCAAGCACTTGAGGGTCTATATATATGTACAATGCGAAACCATTCTTATTACTAATCATTAGAAGAGTTCAACCAATTAACAGACATATTTAACATCAAAGACCTGAAAAGCACCGTGTGATGACAAGGATATAGTTGTACATGAACCTTAAAACCACCCTGATATTGAAAAAGAAAAATGATTAGGGGGAAACCATACATTAAACAAACAGTATATAACAGATAGAGCTTATAAACACACGGTCTTGTAAATAAAACCACATTCACAAAATGTTATGAAAACAAAGCATAATAGCACTAAGATAACACAATAAACTGATCCAAGGGTTTGAAGGATCTAATATAGGCTAATAATAATATACTAAGTTAACATAGTAATCACGATTCAAGGTGTTAAAGTTCAGAGAATATATGTTATTAAAAGTTAATAACTGGGGGGGGGGGGATCAAAAATATACATAATTAAAAGTGATAACTGGGGGGGGGGGGAGAAAAACCCATTAGACCACTTGTATGTAACTGATAAGGGCTTATAACACCGGATCTTGACTGAAAAGTAATTCAGCATAATATCACAATAACTTAAAAGGTTATTAAAACACAGCATAATAGCACTAGGATAACACAGAAATCGCGAGCTAAGGCGTTGTAGGTTGATAATGGGCTAAAACTGATTGGACTAGGTTAACATAGTGATGTGCGATTAACGTGTTGTAAGTTCAAAAATAATTATTGAGAGTTAATGGTTACCCATTGTAGGCTAATTGACTGATTTGATAACTTCATCATATGCCCTCGGAATAAATAGTCCCAAATCTTTGTTTAATTCTGGAGAAAATCTTTTGATGTTAATGGCTTCTTTTAACTTCCTAATTTTCTTATTGTTTTGGTTAGCAGCCAGAATTTTTACCTTATCCCAGTCTATTTTGTGTCTTGGATGGTCTTTCAAGTGTTCGGCTATGGCTGATATGTTGGTTGGGGCTTTGGACTTGTGTTCTGAAATTCTTTTATCCACTGGTCTTTTGGTTTCCCCGATATAGGTCTTATCACATGAGCAGCTAATTTTGTAGATGGCCCCTTTTGGTTGCACAGGAGTGGTAGGTTGCAGTTTTCCACTGGCGTTTAAGATCTGTTTGAGGGATGTGGGGATCGAGAAAGACGTGTCAATGTTGGATTTCTTTAGTAATCGGCTGATCTGGTAAGTGAGATTTCCATGGAATGGTAGGGTGATTCTGATAGGGGAATTTTCTTGTTTCTGTTGGTTGCTTATGCTGTTTTTTAGGGTGGCCTCAATCTGTCTATTAACTATGGTTGGGGGGTAATTATTTAGGTTGCAGAAAACGTTGCGTAAGTATTCTAATTCATGATCAAGATACTCTGGTTCACATATGTTGATAGATCTGCGCACTAATGTGGATATCAGGGCTGTTTTAATATAGTGGGGATGGCTGGAATTATAATTAATGTACTGGTTTGTGTGAGTTGGTTTACGATAAATCTTAGTTTTCAGTTTGTTGTTTTGTTTGTGGACATGGACATCTAAAAATGGAAGGGTGTCTTCTTCCTCTGTCTCTATGGTGAATTTGATCCTGGGGTGTTGGTTGTTTAGGTCATCAAGCAGGGCCATGGGTTCATCTTGTTCTTTCAAAACAACAAAAGTATCATCTACCTTGCGAAGCCAAACCAAGGGGGTAATGGGGGACGTGCTGAGGATGCGTTCTTCAAAATGTGTCAAGAAGATTTCGGACATGATCGGTGAGAGGGGGCTTCCCATTGGTAACCCATGTATTTGCTGGTATATTCGCATTGTACATATATATAGACCCTCAAGTTTACTAAATGTCATTGTGCTTGATAACGATAAGAGAATACTTATCGAAACGTCGTGCTTGTGTATAATAAACCAGTGATTGTTGTCCCATATAACTGTATAGTTTTGTTATGTATTCACATATTTTGCATATTTCCAAGATGGGGGCCATTTTGGGCAGAAAAATGGGACGATGTGCTGATATTGATTAAGTAGTCGTCTTTGGTGTTAATATATACGTTTTCGGGGCTCAGATTCCATTGCTGCCGTTTGCAACTGTGTAATATGATCATAATATGTTCACATATTTAGCATATTTCTAATGTGGCTGCTATTAGTGGCGGGAAAGTGGGACGATGTGCTGATTTTGTTTAAGTAGTCGTGTTTTGTGTCAATATAAGTTTTCGGGGCGCAGATTCGATTTCTGTCATTTACAACTGCGTGAAATGATGGTATGTTCACTCATTCAGCATATTTCCAACATGGCCGCCGTTTGTGGCAGGACGTTTTATAAACACATTACTGAGAAGGTTTTTACATCCAATTCTGCTATGTATAAGCTTGTAGCATGCTCCTGGAAGCCAATTTCGTGTTTTACCCAGTAGGTATATTATCCAACGATGGCATATTATACAAAGAAATAAAAACAAGGACTGCAAATGGAATAGTAATACCTGCTATAAAAAACCTTCGTGGCATCTATATTGTCTATCTATTTATATATATATTTGTGACTGTCGTTTGTCTGTCTGTCTGTCTATCTGTCTGTCTGTTCGGGGTTGGCGGCTACACTAGGTCTGCCCCGAGTCTGAAATTTGGGGTATAGGGGTAGCTCGGACCGGGGAGTAACAT